ATATCAGACAAAACATTCATATACATACAACAATAATAAACAATACCCCCCCCCACACACACAGGATTTCTCAGTGTAGCTCTGGCTTGCTTGGAACTCAGTTTGTAGACCAACTGGCCTCAAATTCACAGAGACCTGCCTGCCTCTGCCTCCTGAGCACTGGGATTAAAAGCTGTGCACCACCACCATCAGGCAACAATAAATCTTAAAAAACATATTTATAGTGACGCTTCAACCCTTCCTCCAAACAATTGTATTTGGAGACAGAGCCCTTGAAAGACAATCTGAATGGGCATTAGTCTAATGTGGCTGATGTTCTTGTATAAAGGACATGTTAGGAAAGACGCCGTGAAGACACTGGGCAGTGCACCTATCTGTAAGCACAGGAGTTAGTAAAGCCAGCATCCGTTCACTGTCCCTTAGGGCTGCCACTCAGCTCCATAGCCTGTGTGTTGCCTGCTGGGTGTCCTTCCTTCTAGGGGGAAGAATCCAGACCTCACCTCCACAAGCAACTGCAGACAGTTGCTGTGGCCACAGTCCTCGGATCCAGTCTCTGCTCTCTGTAAGCATTCCCCTTGCCTGTGGCTGAGGGCATTGGGAAGGAAGCTTGGTGGCTAAAGGTAGATGTGACAGGCTGTTGACAGTCCCCCGGAACAGATGTTCTAGGCACTGCAGTCAGGACCCATGCCCTTAGGAACTAAACCAGTTCAGAAGTCAGTCTCCCCCGAACCCCCTTCCCTCCAGCTGTTGCTGTTCATGTCCAGATGTGCCTCTTCTCTTCAGTCAATAAAACATTCTGAAATGTCTTGCTCACAGGTTTCTCCCCTTTTAATACCCGTTCTCTTTAACTGTAATTTGGTTGTTTAACCACCTGCACCACCGACTTTAGAACATTTGCATTACCTGGGGGAAAAATACCATGCCCATTAAGAGTCATTTTTCATCTCCTGCAATACCCATGCCCTTGGCAACCACTAAGCTACCTTTCTGTCTCTAAAATTGCCTGTTTCTGAATATTTTATAAGGTGTAATCATAAGCTACCTTCCGTAATTGGCTTTTCAGCTAGCACAATGTTTTCAAGCTTGGTTGGTATATAGAGTATATCAGTACTTCATTGTACTTCCAAATAATATTCATCCACCCACCAGCTGGTGGGATGTTTGTCTATTTCTTCTTTTCAGTTATTAGGAGTGGTGCTGCCACAAGCATTATGTGGGTTATTTGTCTCATTGCTGAGACAGTATACCTGACCAAAATAATGAAGGAAGAGAGGAGGTCTTTGTTTTGGCTTATAGTTCCAGGATGCAGCCCACTGAGGTAAGAGACATGCCAGCAGGAGCATGGGACAGCTGGGCACATTGCATCTACATCCAGACAGCAGAGTGATAAAAGCACACACTTGGCTAAAGGTCTCCTTTTTAATTAGTTTGGGATCTCAGGATCCATAGAATGGTTCAACCCACATTATAGTTGAGTCTTTCCGCTTTCCCTAAGCTAATCTAGATAGATAAGGCCTCATAAGATGTGCTCAGAGGTTTGCTTATAGTGACTCTAAACCCTGTCAAATGGGCAGTCAAGATTAACCGCTACAAACATTTGTGTGAAAGTTTTTCTGTGGCTGTTTTCATTTCTGTTAGGTGTGGCATTGCTGGACCATGGAGACACTGTGTCTACGTTTTTGAAAGCCTGACCAAGGCAACACACCTGTCACAGAAGTAGTGCAGTGGTTTCCCAGTCCTCTACATCTGCACCAATGCTTATTCTCCATTTCCCCCCAGTCATAGACTTCTTGGTGCAAAGTGGTACCTTTTACGGTTTCGGATATTCTTGACCATTTGCATATCTTCTTTGTGTAGGTGTCTATTCAGATCCTTCACTCAAAGTTCAGTTGAGTCTTTTATCTTTTTTCATTATTGAATTTTGAGAGCTTGATTTAGCAGGGGTATAATTTTCAAAAGTTCTTTTGTATCTTGTGGATTACCATTTCATTTTCATGGTTACCTACACATTTGATGATGTCCAATTATGGATTTCATTGTTTATGTATGTGCTTTGGGATTATTTCTAAGGGATTATTGCCTAACTTGATATCAAAATATTTGACATTTCTATTTTAAAAAATTATTTAACAGTTTTAGATTTTACTTTTTGATCTTTGGTTCCTTGTGATTTAACCTTTGTGTAGGCTGTGAGGTGGTGGATCCCTAACATATCTGTTGAGAAACTATGTTCCCCTTTTGAATTTTTTGGCATCCTTGTCCAACATCAATTGCCCATGGATGCAAGGGTTGCTGAATAGTTTGTTAGGATATCTAATAATGCCTATGCAAAAGGACACATATCATATTATACATCTTGTACAATCTACAGTTTTTCATCAGACTAAAGAAATGGCAGACAGATACCATCCTATTCTAGTTCATTCTGAAAATTAGAAGACAAACTTGCAGTAAGTGGTTGAGTAGTGATAACTTAATTTATACTTCAATTGAGACAAAATTACCATGGGGCATGTATTCTGGATCTGAGCCTAGACAGAGCTTGATGAGCCAGGGATCCATCCGATGTGATATCAGAGATTCCCTACACATCCATTGCCAATGTCCTACACTTTGATCTCTGTCATTGAGGGAAAATTCTTACAGTCACTTCTTCATGACTTTGGACAGACTTTTTGATCACCTTGGCCAGGAGGAGGCAGGTGCTGCGGTTACAGGGCAAGCTCCTTCCACATGGGGCTGCCAGATACCATTTAAATCTTTCCATCCTGCCCTCCTACCCAGCTTCATTTCTAAGATAGCCAGAAGCTTTGGCAAGGAGCCACTGGGGACAGTTTATCAAGCGTCAGCACATCTTCCAAAAGATGGAAATTTTGTGGAAGATGTTAAGAAGAGGTACTCTAGGGGCATACACATTTGAGGGAGCTAGCAACTTTATCTTACTTTATTATACTGCTTTATAATTCATTGGGAGAAAAAGAATAGATTTTGCCCATAACCCTTAAGACCAACAAGAACAATCTGTCAGATATAGACAGGTAGGTGGGTACATAGCTACATCTACAGCCTTTAAAGGCTCTAAAACCTCATGCCTCAGGAACTAGGGGGCACTTTCAGAAATCCTGAGAGTCTACTGAATCAGAAGTCTGGGCAGCATATCCTAGGATTGGCATTTGAAGATACCACTGGTGGGTCTCCTACACTCCCAAATCCAGAACTGCCTACTTGGGAGTTTTCCTAGGAGGAAGTACTTGCTTGTATTCCAAGTGCCAGAAAAGCACAGATCTAGAATTCAACTTTAATTTCTGCTCCTTTAAAAGTGGGGCATCTCCCCCCCAGGCTGATGTAGGGGGGCAGTGGTAAGCAGTAGATACACAGATGGGGCCTGGCACAGAGCACAATACAGGGATCGCTTCACTTACTGAGTGAGAGTAATGATTTCTAGTTCACGGGCTACTGTGAGGATTAAATGGGACATTGTACACAAAGGCTCTCACAATGTCTGGTGCAGACAGTGTGCATATTATTTATGGCCCAGCACCATCTGTCCCTTCCTGGAGCCCCTCTCATTAGCCATGTTGGTTACATTCTTGACTTATGAGTCACACACCCAGCTAAGTGCTTGACGACTGGCCTACTGAGCTTGATATATCATCTGAGAAATTCTGAAGACAAGCTAAAACAAGGTCAGCCTGTTAGTATTCAGGTATCTGTACTGGCCTGTCCTTGGGGTTCTGATAGGATACACTCTCAGCTTTAGCCACTAAGAGCACATTCACTATGTTCCCTTTTAAGAGGGCCCTGCCCCATTTGCTTTCCCCCCAATAAAAACAAAACAAAACAAAAACAAACAAACAAAAAACCTACCACCCAAGCTCTGTCACATGACGTCTTTCTCTCCCGAGTGCAGCTTTTAAAAATTACAACACAGCCCACTGACCATTGCCAGGTGTAATCTTTCCAGGGCAGTCAAGGGGTTACCTCAAAAGGTCAGCAACAAACCCAGTGCTCCTATTGTGTGGGTTTAACTTATATTTCTTAGTTCAAAAACATGCCAAAATTGGTAAATACAGAACCACACAAACAACAATATCTCTCCTTCACTATCCCAAAGTATATCCTGTGTAAACAAACCCAGCTACTGTAACTTCTCAGTTACAGTAGACATCTCTGTGTGGTGCAACCATATGGTACACAGGACCCTCTGGGCTCCGCCAGGCCCTGGCTTGTAGCCAAAGCTCAGTGGCTGCCATCTTGAAATTCTTAGTTATTTCTCTTTGAGTTTGAGTCTTAAAAGTGAAACTCAATGCCCCTGAGTGCAGCATTCTGCTGAGAGCCAGGCCCCTGATGGCTATCTAGCCTAGGCTGCTGGAGGAGACTGGAAGCCCTCTCTGACTACCCCCTCACCCATAACTCCTGCGGCACCTGGCTGGCCGCTCTTGCTCTTGGCAGATCCCCTTTTATGCTTCATGAATTCCCCCCTTGTCCTCCTCTGTGAGGCTCTTTATTTAAAGTTCCGTGTTTCTTGGCATTTGTTATGGGGCGTACTTGCTCAGTCCTACTGATGGAGATGGGAAAAAATAGTGTAACCTTCAAGTGCATGACCTTAGTCCTAGGAATTTATCCCAAGAGAACAACTAAGAATAAAATTATTAATCAAACGAAGTATTATTCCAGTACATTTATTACTAGAATGTGGGACCAAATATCTAGTTACAGGGGATTGGTTAAATGATGACTTTTCTATACAACTATGGCCGAATGTTTAATGCTAAGGAAAAGTTGTCATCAATGTGTTAAGTAAAAAGGCCAAGCTACAAAATGACTTTGAAAAAATCTCATCTTTACATAAAAACACACATATCCTTACAGGAAAAGATAGCTCTGCATGGTAGAATTCGGTGAGACCTTTTGGCTGCCCCTGTCTCCACCATCTTGGGACTGTTTATAATACCTGCTGTTTGCAAGCCTCTGGTGCCACCCTCTCCTTGCCTCCCCAGGTGTGCTGGAAGATGGACTGTCTTCTAATGGAGGGCTCCGATCTGCAGCCCCAGGTGGAATCGCCAACCCAGAGAAGAAGATGAACTGTGGGACACAGTGTCCTAACTCCCAGAGCCTCTCCGGCTCTCTGACCCAGAAACAGAATGGCCTTTGGGCCACAGAGGTAGGGTCACAGCCACAGAATCCAGTGGGGATTGGAAACGGGTGAAGTTCACTTTAAGTCAGGACTACCAGCCTTGGGGATGGAGATTTTCCACCCCTCCATTTAGAATTACTGCCAACCTCACTTTAATCATTTCCTGTGGGGTACTGGGTTTTAGTTAACTTACAGACATGTGTCCTTCACATCAGCCCTCTGGAGGATGTATGTGTTTGCTTCCATATAGTGTAGTCTGTGGATCTCCTGGTCTTAGGTAGTGAAGCCTGGGGTAAGAAACAAATGGCACTTTACTTCACACCCTCCAAACAGCTGGGCCCCCGAGGGTGATTCTTGGAACTACCATAGCATCTTGCTGTTGGAAAGGAGGCCAGCTGTGGTCCTGGACCTGGCTGTGGTCCTCTGACCCTTTCCTTCTGGAGAGCTATTGGTTGGGGGGGGTGCTCCTCCTGCTGTGCCTGGCTCCTCCATGGAGAGGCTGCCACCTGGAACAGAAGCTCTGCACAGCCTGGGGCTGTGTCTCTTCCTCGTCCTCCCTGTCCCATTTTCTCATGCTCCCCAAAGTCCACCACTCACTGTCTGCTTCAGAACATGCTGGCCCCCACCCCTCCCAGCTCTGGCACCGACTCCCTGAGGGCACAGCCTCCGACCCAGTGATGGAATTCTTGCTCAAGTGGTCATCTGCCTTCAGAGGCTTTGATCAGGAAGCTTGTTGCAAATTTCATCTCTGAAGTTCACTGACTGAGCAGAGTTGCCTGAATCAATCTCTCAGAACCTCGGGTTCCTTAAACAATACAGTGGAAATGAAATAATACCCAATGGAACAAAAGATAGACCTGCTCTTGTCAGTTGACATGCGCATAGCAGTGGCAAGGGGGCGGAGCAGGATAGCTTGGTGCTCAACACAATGGCCTCGATAAGTGGAATGCTAATGGAACCCTATTGCTGACTGGGGGGAGGGGGGTTTAGCCATAAGGTAACAGTGTTTTCCTAGAGTCTTGCATTGTCTACTTTGCCTGTAGAAGAATCAGCCATCACTGATGTATCCCAAGGCAGTTTGGGCTCCACAGGGCTCACGAGGTCGGTGAGATTTCTAGTGAAGGCTCGGGTATATGCTGCCTATCTTCCTCTCCGTACTCTAGAATCCACTCTTACAGCCAGAACGATTATAGTAGTGAGGTGGTGGATTTACCCGGGAATGGCCTGCACGGCTTGTTTTCCCTGTTCTACCTTCTTCCCTCATCACCCATTGCTTCAAAGTTGTGTTTTTGCACTTACATAGGCCTACTAGGTTCACAAACCAAGGTATGTGCCGTATGGTGTGGATGACTATCCATGTGTCACTGCCCACTACTATCCATATGTCATTATCCTCTACTCTCCATGTGTCACTGTCCCTTACTCTCCATGTGTTACTATCCACTGCTATATATGTGATGGAGATGGGCATTATAACTTTACACCTAACGGTTGGATCAGAGCATCATAATTCAGGGGGTAGGAATGTAGCTCAGGTAGCAGAGTTTTTTCCTAGCAGAAAAAAAAACCCAAAAACCCTTGGACTCATTCCCCATATAATCAGAGGACTCAGAAGATGGAGACGGGAAAATCAAAAGTTCAAAGTTATCCTGAGCTATGTTTTTATAGCGGTGAGGAAACACTTCAACTATCACAAATCTAACTTCAAATTTGAACCTCTTCCTGAGTGAGCAGCCACAGTGAGGTGAGTGACAGCTTCTGGGTGGCCTGGAAAGCACCAGGGACCCGGCAGGTAGCCCCCAGTGAACCGCATCTTGCTGATGTGTTTGGGACATTAGAAAGGCTACACACATTTTCAGCTTGTGTTGGATTTCCTGGGATGTAAGCCACAGTGTTAGCATTTTGCTGCATTTCCCCTGGGCACCATCACCTGGATGATGGCTCTTCTCCAGGAGGTATTCTCGGAAAAGTGAGCAGCCTCATGCACACACCCCTTGCAGTTTTCTGGTTCAGATTTACCAGAAAAACATGTGGGTTAAAGGCAGTCCTTGCTAGGCCTTGAGAGTTTCCTCATTAGTTGCTACGAGCACTCTTAAAGTCCTTTTGAGTGCTGTTCAGATACGAGGCACCGTCTAAGTGCCAAGAACCCAGGGAGGGGGGAAGGCAGGGTTACTGGGACAGTAAGAGTCAGATAGTAAGATGAATGACATTGTTGTAGACTTGACTGTGTTCTGGGGGACTGGGAAAGTCACCAGTGGGGCAGTGACTTCTCCATTAGCACAGATGCTCCCTCCAAAGCTCAAATTCACTTCTGAAGGGCAATGGGGCATAATGATGGGGAGCAGCAGCATCTTGTGTTTGGAGCCCATCAAACAGACAGTATCTCTCTCTTCAGTTCTATCTGGTCCCTGCTTTCTGACCAGTATCGTTACGTGTTAACTGGCAGAATGATTGCGCTGACAAAGATCTTTCACAAATTGGTACTGGCTGTCTCTGCAGGGAGCTCTTTATGCACCATGCTTGCCTTGATTGTGTGGGGCCATATTGATTGACCTCACAACAAATGGCAAGTTGTTGGCTTGTTCTCCTTCACCCAGCTGTAACATGAAAAATAAAAACACAGAGACTGATATTGGGGGTTCAAGCTGAAGATCAGAAAAGCAAAGTAGCCTGCCACTAGCTCTTAAATCTACCTCAGCCCTTAAGAGGTGATCCTGTCTCCAGAGCTCTCCACCACGCCTCAGACTGCCGCCTCTCCTCATTGTGGCTGGAGACTAAATCTCAGAATGCAGCCTGAGACACCAGGCTCCTGTCTTTTATATACTTCTCTAGAGCTTCGATTAAAGGCGTGAACTCTGTTTCTCTTTTAGACGGACCACTCTCATGTAGCCTTGGGTGGCTTTGGACGCACAGAGATCCATCTACCTCTGTCTCCTGAGTCCTGGGATTAGAGGTGTGTGCCACCACTGCCCCGCTTCTATGGCTAACTCATGTGGCTGGCTTTGCATTTTGATCCTTCAGGCAAGCTTTATTAAATCATGAATACTATATCACCACACCCAGCTCCCCACCTATGCTCCACCCAGAAACTCTGGGCTGCCTTCAAACATATTCTCTGCACCCCGGTGTGCCATTTTCCTCAGGTTTCTCTCTCATCTCCTCCTTTAAAAAGTCAAACAGGCAAAACTTTCTTCAGGCCAGCTCAGCAGGTAATGGTGCTTACCACCAAGCATGAGTTTGACACCAGGAGCTTCTGGAAGTTACCACCTGATCTCCACAGGTACTCCACACACACAAACACACACACACATGTACACACTAAAATAAAACTCTCAGCTGGGCTGGAGAGAAGGCTTAACAGGTAAAAGCACTGGTTACACTTGCAGGGAACCCAGATTCAGTTCCCAGCACCTACATGGCGACTCACCACCATGGGAGAGGCACAGGGGTCCTCATGCTTATAGTTAAGTACTGGGAGAACCAGGGATGTTAACCACACTGGGTTGTCTCTTCAAATGGAGAGATGCATTTTCTGCCCAGAAGGTTGGGAGTGGGCATGGCTGATAGCCTAGCCACCTTTGCACTATCTGTGTGGCCAAGACCACACTGGATCCTCCCCAAGCTTGCTCTTCTCAGCCAATCTACAGAACCCATTTTTTTAAATAGAGGATATCACATGTGTTTTACAAAGAGTTTCCATGTGGTCATATTCTAGGCTTTGTTGTGCACACGGGATTGAGTTAATTATCATGAATTGTGCTGTGCTTAAATAAACTACTTGGGGTCAGACTCTCCAAGTTTGAACTCACACTGGCTACTGAGTTGTGTTGAGTGGAACCACATGCTTGATTGGCTAGGGTGCTTACAGAGCACCCCACCCACCCCCAACCATGCCTACTCCCCACTCCCTTCCCCTCCAACTCCACGGAATCTGTCGCCGTCTTCTGACCTCTGCAGGGGCAAACATACATACATGCATACATACATAGAGGCAAAACTCTCATGCACATGAAACGAAACATAGGTAAATCTAAGTAAAACAAAACGAAAACCCCTCGGGCATTAGATGGGGTAGAAATGCTGTGTGAATGCAGCTGTCAGCGAGTGAATCCCTGAGCCTGTGGCTGGTTTGCCCACGAGGCTTTCTTGTCTCCAAAGCTGCACACCCCCCAGTTGTCTTATTGTTGTTGGCAAAGTGACCAGACACTAAAGGAATTACCCTTTGTCTGGATTAATTCTCAGCTAAGGGACTTCCTGCAGAAGTTCCCACCCCTAGTGTCTGGCCAACAATGGTTGGCAATGTGTGGCCCAGAGTAGGACGCATGGGTGAAGCCTCAGAGTTCAAAGGGAAGGGTCAAGGGTCGGTGAGGAATTTCTCCCCGACAACTGCACACAGGAAGCGTGTCAAGGAAGAGCAAAGGAGTCTCTCTCTCTCTCTGGGGGGGGGGGGGAGCAAGAAGCTGAAGGGAGGGAGGGAACAGATGGGACCAGAGTGAAGGCTGCCCTGTGCTGTCAGCAGCCCACGCCTGGGAAAAGGGGAGGGATCTGTTGCAGCAGCAATTCTCTATACAGAATTGACCCTGCAGCCAAACCAGTCCAGTTGGAAGGTGCTCAGGCCACAGCCCTCCTTATTCATTACATTCTCCCCTTGACGTTGCAGCCTACTTCAGGTTTAATGTGTTTAGTAGGTGCTGATGAGGGCATGCTGCTTGAATGAGAGTCGTCTAGCTGCTCACCCAGAGTCAACGTGGGGCTCCCCCCTCCTCCCTCCCTCCCCTCTGGCAATGTCACCCTCCCTTGTTTTCACCTCCCTGAGGCTCATGGGGAAAGGCAACAAGTCCTTCTGACACAGGAAGCCCAGTAGGTTAGGTCACAGTCACAACAGGTCTGACTGCTGTGGCAAGCTACCAGCTGGCCTCTGCTGGAGCGGCTAAGATGGAATGTCCCCTGATTAACCCCTCATTAGTGCTCTAAAACTAGAGGTCTCTGAGTGTCTGCCTTCCTCTAGTGGGGATCTGACAGAAAAG